CTTTGGGGGAGGGGAATTCTAGTCTCTATGGCCTGCCTTGGTGGGAAAAGGAGTGCAAGAGAAAGATCTTGCTGCTGAGCCCCTTTCCTTCACGTCAAAGTATTCAGCATGCCAATGCACCATACTTTGGGGTATCATATTCTGAGCCCCGACAATTTCTTCTTCTATCAGCACTGCTTGGAAAATCTGTGTGTGTTGGTTATGAAGCAAAAGCTACTCTGATTTTCAGGCCCCTATTGCCCCTCTCCCTCTAGATACCAGTTCCTCTTGGCTGAGAGTGTGGGATGAGTACTGCGAGGCAGGGGAACCGCACAGGACTGCAGGATTAGCTGGCTGGGGTTGACAGCATGATCACTCACCTGCAGCTCCCCAGGTCCTGGTAGTCCCCAGCTCACGGCCTTGTGCTGCTCTCCTCTGATATTCACTTCACCTCTTGTCTTTCTACTTCAGTGGTCCTGGCAAGACTGCAGCCCCCCATCTCCTTTGGCCTCCACGGTCAGCTCCCTCGCTGGTGGACTCCACTTTCCAATCCTCATGAGAACTGGGAAGTTCGTGGAAAAGGAGGGAGGGCAGTACGGGGACCCTTCCTGAGCAATCAAACTTTGTCCCCAGTTCCTTACTCAGTAGTGTGATGTGAGCTGAGCTCAGCAGGTCCTCGGCCAGGCAGAGATCCAACACAGACACCAACTGCTTCTCCCTGTGCAGCGCTTCTATCTTCACGGGAGATCCTGTTGAACCCCTTCCTTCCTGTGGCTTGGGGGTGGGGGAAGAAACCACTGCTCTAAAAACACGAGGGCCCGATGGTACAGGAGGAAAGAACACATCAATTAGTATCTCATACAGCATCCTGCCTCAAATGCAGAAAACCAGGCACAGAGAGGCTAAAGAAACTTGCTTTAGGTTATACAGCTAGTAATTTGCAGAGTGACAGCCCCAAAGCCCATGTGCTCCTTTGATGTATTAGTAAGGTTCCAGGGGCGAGAGGAGCACACTTTACCTGTCCTCTCCTACTCCTTCCCCTCATTCCTGTGCCCTGCCCACCTCCCAAGGGCACCTTCAGACTTGTACATTACAAGTGACCTGGAGCTGGTTTAGGCAAAGACTGTTAAACATCCCTTCCCTTTGGACATTTAAGATTTCCACTGCATCTTCACCTCTGCAGAAAAATCAACTCTTGAGTGAACCAGGATTTCATCCACTCAAACCCCTGCCCATTGTTTTCCATGTAGAGTAGCTACAGAGATGAAGGAGGAAAGGGTAAAGATGGCTGATGTATTAAGCTTTAAGGAAGTTAAGGAAATTCACCACCGCAAGTGACAAGAAAAAGGAAGAATTACAAAATGTACAGTCTTTCTTTTTATAATATGATGACTTCAATCATCGTCTCCCATGGCTAAACCATTATTTGGAGGCTAACACAACTTCCCCGGCTAATTCCTTCATCCCTCAAGATGCAGGTGAAACAAACATCCTCCAAGAAGCCTTCCTTCATGTCCTTCTCAGTAGCCTGAGCGAGGACGTCTCCCTCACCACTCACAGGCTCACTGGGCTCACCTCTGGCACAGCATTTACTTACACATGCACTGCTTTATAAAAAGTGTGTTCATCCCTCCTTCCCACCAGATCATAAACTCCCCAGGCTAAAAGGTTCATATCCTTTATCTGTAGTCCTACCCTCCAGTAGTCCCTGGCACATAGAAGATATTCAGTAACTATTTCTGAATGAACACTAATATTTTATTATGATAAACAATGAAAAAAAATAAAGGGGTAGTAGTAGCTTAAAGTTTTATAATCAGAAAAATGAGTCAGAGTGTAGGAGAAGGTTAGATGATTCAACTTGGAAAGTCATTAACTATTTTTAGCTCGGTTTAACAGCTGGGAGTTAACCTTAACCTGGTATTTAATTTCCAGGGTAGGGAAGACCAGAACAACTGTGTAGCCTGTAAAAGTGCTTTAATCACTGATTCAGCACTTCATGCGTCTTTGGTCACTATCACCAAAAGTCATTTAAAAGCTCTTAGGCTTGTTGCTGTACAGAGCAATTTTACCAACGATGATTATAAGTCAGTGAGATCTTCAACATAACAAAAAAATACTGATGTTTTTGTACATGTGCCAGGAAACCATGAGCACTCCTTCTTTCAAACAAAAATGTAAGACTCATTAAAGTGTATTAGTGTTCTGAGAGTAACTTCAGCATGGGTAAAATATAACCTAATGGTTAGTCGTTTATTCAATGAACTTTTTTTCATCTATGACTTTGTACAAGTCTCTTTGGCAGGAATTGAGAGGCTTAATATAATATTGTTGGGGCTCAGAAAGTGATACACCAAAGTATGGCATTTAGCATGCTTACTTTGAACTGAAGTACATTTGTATTAGTCCGTTTTGTGTTGCTTATAACAAAATACATGGAACTGGGTAATTAGGAAAAGAAACAAATTTATTGCGTACACTTTCTGAGGCTGGGAATTCCAAAGTCCATCTGGTGGTGGTGACAGTGACCCAGTGGTCTCACACTGCAAGGTGATGGAAGCAGAGAGAGCAGAGAGAGAGACAGACAGACCCTCCTCATCTTTTAAAGCCCTCAGAACCACGCCCCTGACCACCATTTTTAATCCATTCACTATTGCACGGTCCTACAATCCAATCACCTCTTCAAAGCTCCACCTTTCAATTACCATAATAGGATTTCCCACCCTCTTAACAATCACAGTGGGGGCTAAGTTTCTAATACATAAAACTTGGGGGATGCAATTCAAGCTCCAATGAATTTGGGGGGGGGGACATAATTCAGTCCACTACAACATTGGAAGAGCCTCAGAAGCAAAGTCTCTATCTTTTGCCCTTCTTTCTCCTGCAATTCTTTCTCCCCCAAGGAAGGCCATAGAAACTAAAATACTACTCTAACCTTCCCCAGCCTTTCTGGGTAGGAGCTGGCCACAAAGAATTCTCTGACCTCCCTACCTTATCTAATAGGAGGTCATAAGACTCTCATTCCAGAAGGAATGCTGCAGAGAGGCCAAGAAGGATCTGAACAGACAGGCCTTGCTTGGTTACCCGCTTCAGTCTATTAAAATTACGTCATTCCCTTTTTTTCCAATCACATTTCTACACAGCTGTCCATTCTACATCAAACCTAAACAAAAAAATAGACCATTTTCTCTGGGTCTTTGGGTTTTCATTTCTGAGGATACCCGTGTGTGGCGCTAGGGCTGATGTCTGCAATCCTGTTCACAGCGCCAATTGTCTAGCTCTTAATCCTGTTCGTGATGCCAATTGTAAAGCGAGACGACCACGCCAGTTGTTGGGCTCTTTTACCTGCATCCCATCCTGTACTGACTGGGCCAATTGTCAAGCTAAGGCTGGGTCTGGAGCCCAAAGACCCCTCAAGCCTGTTCACAGACTGGGCCACAAACCCTTCACATACCAGGCCGGGTCCCCAGACCCCTCACACACCAGGCTGGGTCACCAGACCCCTTCATGCAGGTGTATGAGCTAGGTAACCGGCCAAAAGGTCCTTGGAGCCATAGGTTGGAAAGCATGGTTGCGTGGGGCAGACTCTAGAGGTGGACTCCTGAGGCCTATGCCCACCTGCCTGCTTCCCTAAATCAATCTCTCTCTCTCTCTCTCTGATCTGCAGAGGCACACAAGACTGCAACAAAAATAAAAAGATACATTGGTGTGCATGTGCACTAACTACACACACACACACACACACACACACAATGTTTACTGAACCACCCCCAACTGGCCCTGAGGCGAGAGGAGCCTGATTAAATTATTCTATTTTCCCAACACCATGACATGTAGAACTTTGATTAAATAAATCTGTTATGCTTTTGTCTTGTTAATCTGCCTTTTGTTATAGGAGTGTCGACCATGACCCCAAGGATGGGGGAGGAAAGGGAAAGTACCTTCCTACCTCTACAATACCCACCCTCAACCTGACGGACTTTAACATCTATTTCAAGAAAGAAAGGGAGAGAAAAACCACAAAAATGGCAAACTTCTCAAGACCAAATGTAAATAAATATTACACTGTATTTTACAGATGAAGACTGTGTAGATGTTGAGAAAAAGCGGATACAAGGAACAGCTTAAAGACCAAAGACCGTGGAGGTGAGAGGCCAGCTAGTAGTACTTGCTTTCTTTCTAATCACACTGCCTGGCAATCCTCAGACAGGGAAGGGGTTTCTCGTCTTCTCTGAAAACGTGGCTGCCTCATCAACCTACCAGTACAGCCCACAGATTTGGGATTAGAAAGTATACCTGTACAGTCAATGCTTATTATTCACAGATTCCATATTTGTCAGGTCACCTTCTCACTAAAATGTACTTGTAACACAAAAATCATTACTCTCAGCACTTTCCCTGTATTTTGGAGACCATAGAGGCCCAAAAGCTGTTTCCCAGCTGAGGCCAAACAGGAGACTCTGCTTTCTTGTTTCAGTTCTTATAACATAAACTAGTGCCCTTCTCCTGGCTTATAAATAGGCCAATTTTGCTGCTTTTTTGGCGGGTGATTTTGCTGTTTAAAATGGCCCCCAAGCATAGCGCTGAAGTACTGTCTACGGTTCCTAGATGCAAGAAGGCTGTGATGTGCCTTAGAGAGAAAAGATACGTCCAATAAGCTTAATAAACTTCGTTCTGGTACGAATCATACTGCTGTTGGCCGTGAGCTCAATGTTAATAAATCAACGATATACATCAAGAAAGACGTCTTTAAACAAAAACATACATAAAACAAGGTTATGTATTGACAGAAACGTTGGAACCAAGGCTTGCAGGAACCTGACTGTATCTCCACTAGGAGCAATGGCCGAGTACTGTAAACTCAGCTCACTCCCCCTGTCCCAGGGCGTTTGCTCCTGTACCGCCCCGCTCAGGGCCAACTTCAGTGGGCTCAGGCATTTTTGGTGCCGGCGGTGGCCGCCTCCCGCCTGCTGTGCAGAGTGGCCGGCAGGTGGCGCCCAGCGGGACGCTCTTTCCAGCGTGGTGCCAGGTGGACTGGAAGGGGCGGAGGTAACCAGAAGCGGCCAGTGGTGGCGGCCCGCGCTCCCCCACCCCCTCCACGCAGCGCTCGCGACACGCGTGCCGGGAGAGGGCGCGAGCGGCGGGTCCAGCTGCATTCTGAGCCCGGGCACTGTTGCCATCTGCTCTGCGAAACGCATAGGAGTCCCCGCCGCGCTCAGTTCGAAGTCGGCCACCATGGAGGCGCAGGCACAAGGTGAGTGGTCGCCGATCGCCCCGAGGGTCAAATCCTGGAGCGCGCAGAAAGGCTTTTTTCTTGCATCACCTAACTTTGCTCTCGGACAGAACCGATTGGTGCCATCTTACACGTCCGGAACCCGCTGCTACCCCCGCCGCCTTCGGGCTAATGCCCGCTCCCCAACTCAGGATTTCCCGTGGGGCTGGGGAACGGTGAAGGGGCTGGGGATCAGTGAGTGGAGAGGCTCCTCCGCAGGAAATGCGCCCATGGAATGTTCTACCCCTTTCCGCAGCCAGTCGCCCCCGACCTCCCCAACCTCGCGGGTGCCCCGAGGACCTGTTGTGCAGGGTCCGGAATCCGCGTTTCGTTCCCTTTTCCTTGGGGAGTGGGGCAGGGAGCCGACTCCTCTCGCCCGGGGCCGTGGACTCGCGCCCTGCGGCTCCCAAGTTGGGGGGTAAGCGGGGCGCGCGCCGAGATGGTGGCGCCGCAGAGACGACCCGAGTCACCGGCCACACCAGGGGCTTCTTGCCTTGCGAGGCGAAGCGAGCGTGACCAGCCCCCTAACCTCCGGCAGGTCACACGTGTGTCCGGGCTTCCCACGATCCGGGTGCGACCTCTGCTCCCCAGGCGCGAGGGTACCCCGGCCGCTGTCTGGCAGCCCCGCTCCCTGTCCCCGGCTCCCGGGGCCGCCCGCTGGAGGAGCCCGCGTCAGCTACACGTAGGGCGGCCTCGTATCTCGGAGTCACACTTAGACCAGGGCTGGGGAACTGCGGTGGAATCGTTCAAGGATGGGAGTAAACGGAGCGTGGAAACCGGGCTGACGTGGAGCAAGGGAAGGAATTAACCCTGGGAGCATCGCCCAGAGGGATGGGTTGCGGAGTTCAACCTTTAAAACAGTCATTGTCACCTTTCTTCTACAAATTCTGTGATGGCTTTTAATATAAATAACAGCCCGTTTTAAAAAAAAAAAAAAAAAAGAGGTTCACGACCCTGTGCACTTGCCCTCTAGGGGCAGAAGCGTCCCGAACGAGAGAGGTTTGGCGAGTGGGTGGGCCTGGAGTCACCCAGCAGGTTTACTGCCAGGATTAACCAATTATCTGAACAGCGCGAACCATACTTGTTCTTTCCATCAGCCAAGATCCTGCCCAGAAGGCTGCCACTTCCAATGGTTTCTCCCACTATCTAAATAGGAAAGAAAATTCACCAAGGGTGGGGCACCTGGTCAAATTAAAAAATGAAGGTGGAGTTGGAGTCCTTCACACTTGAACTGAAGCGGGCGGGATCACTACTGGAGCGTTTCAACCTGACGTGAAGATTAGAATTCTTTTGAGAGTCAAATACCGGCCCTGGCTGACCCCATACCAATCAAATTGGAATCCCTGGGGCCTGGGCATAGGGATATCTGAAAGTTTCCCAGGTGAGTCTGTTGTTCATTGAGGTTGGAGAAGAGCTATAGGCACCATAAGAAAAGTTCATCCAAATTCTGAAGACATCTGCAGCCAGGACTGGGAACCCCTAGTGTCATTAGTTTGCTTTACTGGCTTGCTTTACCTCAGAGAATTACCTGACAAATATTCCAGTGCTTTCCCTTGCCAAGCTCTGTGCTAGGAAGAGCAAAAACAGATTTGATTTCTGCTTCATGAACCTTACAGTGGAGGAAGAGACAGATATTAATTTGATAGCTATCTGATAAATTTAAAATTGCCACCGTGTTAATGCTAGGACAGATGGCCACATAGTTCAGTGTGAGCCAGAAAAACTTTAGGCCTAGTAGGCGATAATCAAAATAGCTCGGATGAATTGTATACTGTGTCTCTCTCTCTGTTTTTTGTGCTTCGCATGTATTGACTCATTTCATCTGCACAGAAGTAGCACGAGGTAGGTAGTGTTCTCAATCCCATTCTACAGAGAGGAAATACACACAGGAGGTAAATTTCTTGTTTACGACCAAATAAGTAATGAGCAGCAAGTTGATGCTGTGAGGCCTCATTCCCACTCAAAGACTAGGACTTCTAGGGGAAATATAAAACGTAAGTCCCTACCTACCTCTCCAGCTGCCCTCTGGCACCTTCCCCTTCCCTCCTGACTGGATGGAACCTTTGTGGGTGGGGAGGACTAGTAAAAAGGCAAATGAATATGAGAAGAGCGAACAGACTTAAGAAACACTTAGGAAGAAAAATCAAAATAATTTGGATTGGATATGAAGGAGGCAGTACCCAGGATGACTCCAACTTCTTGTGCAATCAAATGGGTAATGTTTACTTCTTAAGTCCTCATTTTCCCAGTATTTTAAGTAATTCATTTTCAGGCTTTTTTTTTTCGTCATTTAATCAACAAACATATTAAGTTCCTTAGGAATAGAACTTTTCACAAACTGTTCAGAGTTATATTAAAGGGAAATCTTTTTCCACTTGGCACATTTTTCTGGCTAAAATGAATATTTGCCTCATAGATTCTAAGATAGTCCTTGATTTCCAAAGGGTACCCTTCTATGTTCAGCACAGTTATGGTATTTTAGAGTTATCTAGAGTGGGGATGGCTTATCTTTTTTCCTCTTAATCTAGAGACCAGCAAAAATGAATGAGGTTAAGAAGGCAGCTGCTAAAGAGATTCCCCTTGTACTGTCCAAGGGGTCGTCCAGATGCTTTGGACATTATTTGCACATAGCTCAGTAAATGCTGGAAACTTTCCTATCAGTGAAATTCTGCAAATTCTGAAAATATGTTCTTTATCTTTGTGAAAGAATAGATAATTTACAGCAAAACAAGACTTTCTGGGGAGTTGGTAGGATGGAAAACATGAAGTGGGATTTGCATGAAGCCATTCGATGAGGAGGGGCTGGAGAACAGTATGGAATAAAAAGTCCACAGCAGGCAGCATTCCCACGGGCTTTCCACTGGTACTGGAGGGTTTTGCTTTAATGTGTATAAGAGAGGGAATTTGGTTAGGATTGTAGCATTTCCCTGAAACATGGCAGTCCTTTCAAGTAAAAACTTCCTGATCCTTTTAAACTACCTTTCAATATTTCATTATTCTAAATGGAAATTACTTTATTGTTTTTACCTTTCCCAATGTCTTTAATGTTAAAAGGAAAACATTTTCTCCATTTAACAATTGTGTATATTCAAATGAATAATACCACAAACTTGTTGGCTTAAAACAATGGAAATTTACTCTCTCATAGTTTGGAGGTTGGAAGTCCAAAATCAGGATCACTGGGTTGAAATCAAGGTGTCAGCAGTGCTGCACTCCCTCTGGAGGCTCTAAGAATCTGTTCCTTGCCTCTTCCGAGTTTCTGGTGGCTTCCCACATTTTTTTTCCACATGGCTCTAATCTCTGCCTCCGTGGTTACATTGCTTTCTTCTCTTCTGTCTGTGTCAAGTTTCCCTCTGCCTCTCTCTTATAAGGACACTATGATTTCATTTAGGGCCCACCTGGATATTCCAGGATAATCTCCCTATCGCAAGAAAATTAACTTAATCACACCTGCAAAGACACTTTTTCCATATAATGTAAAATTTACAGGTTCCAGGAAGAAGGACCTGATATCTTTGGGGGCCATTATTCAGCCTACTACATAACTAGTTTTTAAATTCAGATGTTCAACTCAGGAGGATTCTTTGAAGTCTATGAATGACAAAAAGTAATAAATATCAGATTGACCCTACTTGTTTGCAAATTCCATTCAGTGAAAATGTCACGTATACCTTATACTTTGCTTATAGGACATTTATTTACTCTTATCTTGTTCCAGGAAGGACATAGGGTAGTTTATATGGATATAGAAAACACAACAAGACAGTGTAAATTAGAAACAGATGAAAGAAAAAAAATAAGGATGAAATTAAGGATGAAGTTCCTGAAAAATGCATACAATTATATCCTTTTTACTGATACTGCATGGAAAACAAATTCTTCCTTTGTAAATGAAGTATGGTATTTTGTTATAAAACGATAGAATAACCCCTCCTCCCATTTCCAAATAGCAACACGTTCACTCTTTTATAGGGACCAGATTACCCAAGACAAAAATTTAGTTTGCATTTTATACTTTATATTTTACACTTTATATTACATTGCAGGAAATATAATCATAAACCTAAACAATGAAAGCTGGCTGTTATACATTTTGGTTAATGATTTTTAAGAGTATTATTAAGACTATTGATACTGACTTCAAAGCTACCTCTTATAGTTTTGTTCCCCCTTTAAGTAAAAGTTTTAAAGTAGGTAATGATGTGTACATTAGATGAAGTCAGTCATTTGCAGCAGATCATACACTATTGTTGCAATTAAAATTCTCATAAAATCTAATCATACAAAGGATAGATATTGTAGTATATTAAAACATACTTTGAATTGCCTTTCCTACATATGCTTTGTTTTCTTAATACTCTGGGTTGGCAGAAGCTGCGAAGTTTTAAAAACTTCTAGGCAAAAGAGGTTTTTTTTGTGGGCTATGGTAGGATTTTCTACTTAGCAAGATATAGTAAATAATAAGAACTTCAGCACATATTGATTTGTTAGATAAATATTTCAACAAATATTTATTGATTACTATTGTAATAGCAAATATTTGACAAGCATGTACTATTGGGAGACAGTAGGGTATAGAGCTGAAGACCCCGGAATCAAGGCAAACTGCCTGGTTATTAATCCTGCCATTGTTATTTACCATTAATATGACTGTAAACAAGTTATTGATCTCTCTGGGCTCACTTCATATATAAAGTGAAAATAATAATAGCTCCAATATGATAGGATTGTAATGAGAATTTAGCCAAGTTAATACATGGAAAGTGCTTAAACAATACCTGGCATGTGGTAAGTAGTATATAAATGTTTGCTGTTGCTTTTATCAGCGTATGCCAAAAACTTTATATGCATTATCTGATTGAAACCTATAATAACATCATGAGGTAGATACCTTTACTTTTTTTGTTGTTGTTACTTTTATGTTTTGTTTTGTTTTTTGTTTTTTGTTTTTTGGTGGCTGGCCAACAGGGTATGTTTAATAC